ATCGCTACTAGTAGCATTCTCACTACTAGGAACAAGAAGCTACTAGGCGCTCCTGGCCTACTACTAGGAGCAAGGACGCTACTCGGGGCTCCTGGCATCGCTACTAGTAGCATTCTCACTACTAGGAACAAGAAGCTAGTAGGGGCTCCTCGCCTCGGGATCTCAAGAGTCGACCGATACGGGGCCGAGAGGTGCATGGACCGAGCATCCGAAACTCCACTCTTTGCAGCACGAGCACGAGCACGGACCTCCGTCCTATCGTTTGACGTTGGATGAATAGAACCCCCAAGAGGCTGTACCATCCCAATTGGGCTGGGAAGTTTTATGAATCCGATATCGACAATTCGTGTAATTAGCATACATAGCTAGTCCACTTGATCAGCCAAAGGGATTCTCCTGCTGTCACTGGGTGAAGAGGCGTTTCTTCCCCAAATGAACGGCCCTGCTCCGCACTCCGCCGGCTCAGACTCTGGCGGACCGCCGCATCACTGCCAGAGAAGTGTGAGGCAGACTGGGAAGAATTCACCAAAGCAAGGATTTTCTAGAAGAAAACTAGAATGCGAAGCCAGAAGCACACTTTCCATCGATGTTAATCCAAAAGTGGTCCGTAACTGATACGATTCAAGCGGTCCGACATGTCTTAAGGCTGTCTTAAGCGGTTGGAAAAGTGTGGGGATGGGTCAAAGCATCCTGGAGACACTGGTCCAGCTGGTCTAGCGAAGGACTGTGTTACCAGTAGGTCAGCGCCATGACTCAGCGCTGGTCCCCTTTTTCGTCGTCAAAGGAGATTTGGCCGTTGTGAATGCCCTTGCTACAGTACTTGTGCGAATCTGTTGAATCTGTTCACATCAACAGATTGGGTTGGGTCAGAGAGGATGGTACATGCCACCCGCTATCAGTTGAGTGGTGTTTGGGACAAATATGGTCCTCTGATTTGTATCGTCCTGTCATTATGCCTCGGCTTGGTTGTATTTCTTTGTTTATACATGTTTTTACATGTGATTAGGGCTTCCCCTTTGTCGATAAAGAGGGAAGTTCACTTTTCTATAACATACCAATACTGTTCCCTCTGGATGGGTGTGTATCGAAAACCTATCAACCAAATCAATGTTTAAATGGTGTGGGCGTCGCATGAGGTTTCAAAACACCGGCCATCAGGTGTTGCTCCTGGTCCATCAGGTGCTGCTCTTGCATTGATGATAGAGGGCCTTGTTGCATCCGAACTAGTGCAGCAGTGGGGTCCTAGTGATGGTCCTAGTGGGTAGTGAGTGCCTTAGACCCCGAGGCAGGTCAAAACCAGGGCTTTGCTCATGGGTCCAAAGTGGATCAGATTAACATGTCCCAGGAGGCCCTCTAAACCGACATCTCAAGGGTTTTCTCTATTGGTAGTCGGAGAGTGAACAGCCAGGTTCTTGAGACAGTGACGCGAATGCGACATCCGAGAAGCAACGGACCCTGCAAGGTGACCCTGCATGCCAGCGCCAGTGCTCAGCTCAGCGAGGCCAATCTGGCAGGCGCGAGCTTGGATCAAACACCGCATGACACTGGAAAAGGGCGCAGCATGCCCCACGAAAAGGGTTGGATTTGGCATGAGCGCATTTGATTTTTGTATATTATAGATTTAGTAGAGTTTAGTAGTGAACATGGAAGATTGCATTCCACAGCCGAGCCCTGACGGACCTGACCATGAAAAGTGAGTCAGGTCAACAGTTCATTTTGGAGCCGGTGATGGTGGATGAAGACGAAGCAAAGGTCTTTCAGGCGACAGCACGTGTCGGATCGGCGGCTCGGAAGACATGGTTGTCTAGCTTAATAGTCTTGTAAACCTCATTTGCATATATTGCATATAGAATTTTTGGAGGATGCTGTTTTTTTGAATGGCTTAGATGCGAAGTAGCTCTTGATTTGCCGCACAAAAACAGAAGTCATGAAAAGTCAGCTCCAACCTCCTACAAACCTGGTAAGCTGGTGTAGCTGGTGTAGCTGGTAACCTGGTAAAAAGAAAGAAAAAGTGCACTTGAAACCGGTTGGATCCCTGATTCGGAATTCACCTCAACTCCACACGCACTTCGTTCTCCGACGCGACGGAAGCCACGACGTCAGGAGAATCCTTACCTGCAAGGCTGCGGATGTTTGCGACTGCCGCAGGACCGCTCGGCCTGTCCTTTGTGCGGAAACCCCGCTTCCGCTTCCGCGGGCCGTGCCGCTCGTTCCACCGGGTGCCCGGGTGCTGGATCCGGTGCGAAAGGAGGCGGTGAAGTGCGTGGGTGAACTTTGCAAGCAGCAGCTGGCCCTGTGTCTGCGCGACGCGAATGGCGAAGTCCTGGACTGCACCGGCGTGCCCCGGGCGGTGGACGAGGGCGTTGATGAGGGAATGGATGGGGGGAGGAGGGAGCTTCATTGGGAGGGAGTGACACGGAAGAGGAAGAGGTCTTGGAAGTGGATGGCACCACCTGTTTGAAGGGGAACCTACATGGTGTTCAACAGATGCCATCGACTTCCCTGACTTGCATGTCGTGACGTGTTCGCGAGAGTGTAAGGTTTTTGGACTGAGATTTCCTTGGCAGGGCAGAGAGGCCACAGAGGCCGCTTTTCAGCAGAGCCGTCGCTTGCTGGTGCTGGTCGGCTTAGGCTTTTCAACACTAGTTGGGCTTGACTTCTCCAGTTGACCTCAATATGATCTAATATGATCTAATATGTGTGGGAAGGGTTTGAACCACCCATCCAGGTTGTAATTCATCAATCACTTTTTGAAGATTGGCATACTCTTGAAGGTCTCCAAGATGGGTCTCCTTTTTTTTCTCACTGCACTCACTGAGACGTGAAAATCCCTTTTCCAGGTGCAGATCGGCATGCTGTTGGACCATTGCTTCCGCTTCTTGGATCGGTCGTGGGGCTTCCGCACCGTGAGGGATGAGAAATCATGTTCTGCTGAGGGCTTCCTCCAAAGATCAGACGACACCATGCAATTCTACGGGGTTGTGATATCTCGCCCCCCGGTTCTTGTCAAAAGGTTTCCAATGGGACCCTTTTCTGGATTTGGGGGGGCTGACGTTTCAAGAGATTGAGACGAATACCAGTTGCTCTCAATGGTTCAATTGGGTAGGGTGTGTCCCAGCAAATCAGTAACAGTCGGCAAACGATTCTCACTCTTCTAGAGAAAGGCCTGCAAACTAGCCATCACCATCCACTGGGCTTTGGTCATGGAAATACCTAAGGCCTGGGCGTAGTCTTGATGTGAAAAGGGGCCTTTCGGCTTTCAAGGAGGTCGGATGGAGACCCGCTCTCACTTGCTGCTATTGGATAGTCGCATGAGTTGATTCTTCCAGATGCCCTGAAATACAATGCGATGAGTCAAAACCTGGGTCTGCACATAGAAGTACAGTAGATGGTCTTTTTCAGACCCAAAAGCTACAGGAGAGTCGAGGGTCAAAAGATGGCAGTGATCCAGGATCCACCTTTGGGCGATTACACCATGTTTGCCCCACCCACCCCACCTGTACCTATCCAACCCTTCGCGTTCACCTTCCGCGCCTCCATCGGAACGTCACCGTCACATCGCCCAGGCTACGATGGCGCGCTGGGTTGCGACGTCACCAAGGACCGTCGGGAGGCGAACGAAGAGAAAAGCCTATTGTTGGTTCTTTCAAAGACAGCCCAGTGATAGAAAGCAGGTGAATTATACAACTTAGATATACTTAGGTGTGTTGTTTCATGAGACTTTGTATCTCTACGTGCACTTGGTGCGAATGATGTGGCCACTCCCTTTGATCCAACATGGAGGCCCACGGGCTGATTCTTCCCTTCCATCCAGTCTTTGGGTGCGAACGCGACGGTCTTAGCGTTCGTGTTTTCCATGTGACAAGGTAGGGGACCCACAGGAACTTGAGGACTAGATGGTTGGCTAGTCTGGAGATCCTGCATCATCAATCATCTAATCCTATCATCTTGTGTCCTGTCTGGAGATCCCGGATAGTAGGTTGGAGGCCATCGCTAGTATTCGCTAGTAGGTGTAGGGGCTTCCAGCCAGGTGACCCCGACATGAAGGTGCTGGTACAGAACTGATCCTCCGAAAGGGATCTATTTTCAGGAACCAACCAGTTCTTCAAGGGTATGCAAAGTGGTTCCAACATCTCCGATCCTCACGTAGGAAAAACGGTGCACTCCCCACCACAAGACCTAAACTGGTGTGGGAGGTTTTAAGTATGTTCTTGTTCATTAATAAACCCTACTTCCAATTGAATTGGAAGTCGATCTTCATATGGGGGGTGAATATATACTCAAGAGTCTACATGAATCTTGCTATGTTCAACCTTTACTTGGGATGATTGAACCATCTTGAACCCATCGACTCATCTTGTTTCGTTTCGTTTCCGTTGAAACCCATCCGCCGAATGCTCACCAGATCCATGGGTGCTCTTCGTCTCTTGATGAGGTCGACCTCAAGAAGATGGGTGGATTTGTGGAAGGTCAGTCTGACTGAGCTCCGTAAGAGGTCAGTGTTTTTGTATGACAACCTCCAGTATTTCATGAGGTCAGTTCACTGAGCTGTATACGGGATGGGAAGTGGATGGCATTCGACCCGAGTTCGGATGACCGATGTTTCCGAAGACCGAAACAGGGTGGGTTTCCAGTTCCTGACCTGTACCCCTATAGGGCTCCTGTCGTACCTCCGCAAGGAAGGTCTGACCGAACCAGGCACCCCAAACAGCTTCGTTTCACGAAAGAGGCACGCGCACCTGGAGCCCTCTTAGCAGGGCAACGAAGAGGAGTGACATTCCAGGAACGTCCTTCCACCGGCGGGACCCACTTCCACCGGGTGACGCCCAGGACGGCGTCCAGTTTCACCTCTGGGCGCCGAGCGCGGTCTCGGCTCCTCGGCGCCGTGGGGGGCGAACCGTGGGAAGCACGCGGGACGTGTGCGTGGTGCGAGTGTCCAAGGGGGCGGCGGGGTGGAAGAGTGGGCGTCCTTGAAGGGTCTGAGGAGATTTCAAGCCCCCCCCTCCCAACAAAATAAGAACCTGAAGAGGTTTGACCTGGGATTGATGAATCAAGAGTTGACATGAGGGAAGAAGGATGTTGGCCCAGACAGGTGGGTCCCAGACAGGCTTCAGAAGGTCTGCGGTTTGGGATCACTTCGACCGGAAGCTGCAAGATTGGTGTTTTTAGGGTGACACCATATGGACAAGAGTCGTAAAAATCCAATGAGAAGACCATGAGGTCCTTTTTGGACCATGGACGCGTTGCATCCAGCTCACCCAGTCGTGGTTGACGCACGAGTTGACGCACGTGGCGCTTCCTCCAGCCTCTAAGGTGGAGCTTTTGCTTTACGACGGTCCACGCAAGGGCACCGCCAGCGTGCAGAGTATGAGCGAGAACCAGGGCGTGCCTCAGATAGATCAGCTGGGAAGTGAGATATTGTATGATATTTTTTTTCCAGGGAAGAGGGAGTCAGGGAGTCATTGCGCTTGCAAGGTGAAGAATAATCTCTTGGGTTTGGCTCAACCTGTTGGATCATCTCTTCCCGCAACTCTTGCGATCTTCAGCGGTTGATGGTCACATATTGGTTATTGTTTATTTTCAACCCTTACCCGTTAAGAAACAATATTGGTATATTACGATGTATTGATGTTCTTTTCTGTCACAACCACTAACCAGGTGAATCGGAAGAGCTCACGGTGTCTTTGCTCTCCTGCGAGATGCAAAGCTCTGTGCACTTGATACAAAAAGCATGGCGCTGCCTCACTGACCAAGGGTTATGCTGATCTCTGAGTTTCACTGCGAAGTTGATTCCTTCGTACTGGTACTTGGGCTGTTTTTAGATGCATAGAATAGAACGAAACAAGAAACCTAGAAGATACACATGTCACATGAACCTGAAGAAAAAATGAACCAAGACTTCGGTTTGACCACCGGGTCTTCGTCCTCACCGCGTCCCTGTTCGCGTTCTGTTCCGACTCGGTCACCGGTCCGAGGTGTGGAGTCTTCAAGGCTCCAGGAGGTGCGGTGCGGTGCGGTCGACGGTTGACTGGTGCGTCGAAAGCAGGGTGGCTGAGGGTGGCTGGATCCAATAGAATCTCTATTGGGTGCTCATTCCATTATTCCCTACGAGTCGCACCAGTCAGACTTGGTTGGGGGATAGTCGGGCTTAGCCTATTGGTTGGTTGATTTGTACGAAGGGATACCACACACGAGAGCGAGGGATACCACACATTTTGAGCAACCAATAGGTATATATGATGGTACCTGGCATCGACCTCTCTATTTTTCTCCAAAGGACATCATGGTGGCGACCGGTGTCGCTGATGGGGAAGTGGTGGGGAAGTGGCCACTCTCATGGCTTCGTTGTCCGTGGGGAAGGTCAGGGAGTTCATTCCCTCTGACACTGCGTGTACTGCATAGCGTGTGGCGCAGGAAGATGAACACACGGGAGCTTGGTTGCACGCACTCTGAGCATCAATGAGGTTGAGGAGAGCTTGGTTCAAACCAGGAGAAACCAGATCATCTCTGGCTTCCGAAGGTACACCATGAAACCACCTCAGAAATAAGCACCTTCTGAGATGGTGTAGTGGATCCCTACAGCTATCTTTAGACACCCGATGTTTGCCCAACCAGCTGGGTGCCGATGTTCGCGTGAAGCGGCAGACGTGAAGCGGCATGTCCGGTCTTTGAAGAGTGCACCGATGCTCACGACATATATGTGTATTGTTGAGATATCAAAGCACCAATTGGATCCATCAACCGTTCACCATGGTCTAGATATATACATGTTCACACCTTTGAATATTGATGTCAGAATATGTCGTCCCACCCCAAATCCCTTTGAAGCTTTACGTATGGAACAAGAAGCTACGCACGGTGGAGGCCATCGCTACGGACGTAACAAGAAGCTGGTCGTTTGACACCCCGACACTGCTCCGAAGCGAAGGATTCGTTCTCCTCCGGAGTCCGGAGTCCTTCAGCACTTCAGGATCGACCCTGGTTATGAGACCATGCGCACCTTCTGAGACAATGTATATTTAGAAGATATTAGGATGGTTAAGAAAAAAAGAAGGAACATCAACCAATTGGTATCAGACCATGTGCACCTTCTGAGAGGAGAGGTCTAGAACTCCCATTGCTTCGGTTCAGCGTTCTTCGAACACATCGGCTCGTCGTTGTTTCTTCGGAGGGGCAGCGGGGCTCAGAGCGAGTTGGGCAGGTGGGTGGGCAAGTACTACAACTACAAGGTCCAAGCTTACCATCCATCCACCGGCCACCTGGATGAGCTGGGGAGAATGGCCATGTTGCTGGGTGATATTGTTGTTCCATGTGGTTTCCCAAAATCGAAATAAATGGGGTTTTCCAATACATATGAGGGCATGTGTCCTGGTCTCGATCGGTTTGCAACACCTACCTGACATGGGCTTTGTTGGGCACCTGAGCCGAGTGCTCACAGTGTGAGACCAGACCACCTTCCTTGAGTCTCATAGACGGTGCCGAAGCTTCCAATTCCCAAGGGGTGCAGACGGTGCAGATGATCGTTAGGGTGCGTCCCAATAATGACCAATAGGACGCACGCTAACGATCATGTCCGGAGAACAAAGACCCACCTTCGGGTTTTGGAGAGCAGTATAGTTCGGGTTGTCAAAGAGAACATGTCCGGACTTCTTGTGATGGAGATGGAGAGGGCTGAGCTCCTTCAAATGCCTTGGTCATGACGCTGGTCCCAGAGGTGGTGTCTTACCGTCCCAAAGGCATCACTGGACCGACCATTGGAGAACGGAACGATCCATCGACCGTGCTGTTCATGTTGGGTATCGGATTCTGTTCCACATTCACATCAATACTAAAGAGATGATATCTTCCGTCCACTTTTGTGGATCCGGCGCCAGAAGCAAGAGTGACTCTAGAGTCCCTTCCCAGCGCTCACCAGGGACGTCCCTTCGCTGCCCAGGTCGTATTGAAACCATGGAAACACCCGATCCTTACTGCTTGGCCTGCTCCGCAGATGCAGGACCCGCCGTGACCCGCCGGTTCAACGCCGTTCACGTTCGCCCGGGTTTCGACCGGCAGAGCCGGTGCGCCCTAGGCAACGGTTGGGTCTGTCTGTTCTTACCTGTAACAGGCAGTAAACAAGTGTCACTATGTTTGGAACAAGGCCTGAAGGCCTGAACCATCATCATCCACTGGGCCCAAGGCATACATTGAGAATCAAATCCAACCATTGAAAACCAGCGAGTTGGGCCGTCCCACCTGGTCACTTTCCAAAGATGGCGAGTTTCTGGAAAAGACCAACGGTTCAGATCCACCAAGCCGTTGGGAGTCGTTGATCACCATCACTTCTTGGAGGTCCATTCCAGTCGTTCACTTCGAGGCTTCGAACCCAGCTGCAAAGTTTCCCGGCGAAAGTTCGTCCAGCTTTGACGATCCCAGCTGCCTCGGAGCTCATGTATCTACAATCGACAGCTTTTCAAGGCTAGTCAACAAGCAATCAGTTCAAATCCAAATCCGTCAAGATAATTTGAGCCATGGCGACAAACATATCAGCGCTCCAGCCAAGTGGTGAAGTCCTGGTTCTTGAAGTGACGCCAGACACAAGAGGCCACGAGCTTAAGCAGCAGATCAAGCAAGGACAGCCCTGGGACAAGCTCACTCGCAGCACTACAAGTGTGGAGATCATTGTTGGAGACACCCACTTGCTGGCCAATGATGAAAAGGTATTGGACGCTAGAATTGCTGAAGATACTGTTGTGAGTGTTGTCTTCAAAGCAAACAAAGTGATATGCTCCAACAAAGATGCAGTCGCCAGCCTTGGTGGCATCATTGACTCCGAGTTGTTGCTTGTGGTCGAAATTCCACACGATGAAACGCACATTCATGAGTGCGCTTTTAAGGGGTGCGAAACATTGGCCAAGGTGATCATCCCAGACTCCGTGACCCACATTGGGAATCTTGCCTTCAGCGATTGCAAGTCATTGGCAGAATTGACCATCCCGAACTCAGTGACCTACATTGGAGTCGGCGCCTTTCGTGATTGCAGCTCTTTGGCGAGCTTGACTATCCCAGACTCGGTGACCTACATTGGAGATCGTGCCTTTGCAGGCTGCAGCTCATTGGCAAACTTGAGCATCCTCAACTCAGAGACGCACATCGAGAATGGTGCCTTTGAGGGTTGCAACTCTTTGCCTACTGGCCACAAAAGACGCCGAACTGGGCGAACTGAGCCGACCACGACCCACTCCGCCTTTGTGTCGACCCAAAAAGGAACGATTCAGCCCTTCGGCGGAGGTTCCGGCGGTTCAGGGTTCCGGCACCAGGCGCGAGGACGTCTTTGGAGGGGTGCGGTTTGGGGGAGGAGCAAGTCAAGGTTCATCCCAAACGGATCCGAAAACCATGCCGGTTTTGGAGGAATCCGGGTTTGTCGGGCTGTTTTCAAGGAAAGGTCTGAGAGGTTTGTCAAATGATTTTGATGGTTTCCGCGTTGGCTTGGTTTCACTGTTCTTTTTGGGGTTTACAAGGTGCTGCTTGAAGGGAGATCCCAAGGTCTGGTCATCCGATAGAAGTGGTGACTGGAGAAAGGAAGGACCGTTATGCTGCCCACCCCAAACCTGCTATGGCCGGTGATAGAGGCCTTCCCAGCGGCGCCGCTGGGAAGATAAGTGGTTGAAACAGTGGATGGGTGTGTTCGTTCATCAAGTTCTGTGATTACTCAAGTCTATAAGTGGCTGCATAAATCTGCATAATTGGTACCATATGGTACAATCATTTTTCGATCTGACATTGCATGTTGTTTGTTCCATGTATTCCCCAAACCAAGCAAGTAGCACGTAAGATGATGTTGAAAGGAAGCTTTCTCACAGGTAGCTCTTTGTGTAGAAAGGACGATCCCTGCGTCGCGGCGGGGGAGCTGGAACGAAACAGCGGTGGTCTCGGTGGGTCTTGGGGTAGCAAGAAGCTACGCACGGTGGAGGCCATCGCTATTCGGTTGGAGGCCATCGCGTAGCGAACGTCACTTCGAACCCGGGAGCTCGCAGCGCGATGCTCGTCCGAATATAGTCCGGTGATGCCGGAAGGTGTTTGGAACTCCTTTGAGACCAAGGATGAAACCAATAGAGTTGGATGGCCCTTGCTTGCTTCCCTACATACACGCAGGAGACAGAACCATCGTGATTCGATGTGCTGTGCCGTGGAAGAGTTTCCCTAACGGTCCGTACGACCATTGTTTGCAGAACAACTCTATTTGCCTTCATCAGTTGCAACAATTCGTTTGACCACCAGTGCAAAAGCACACCCATCAAGGGCATGCGGGAGCAAAGGGACAAGTCTATCTCAGACAGTTTGTATCTCTCTAGAAACTGATTGAATCAACACAGCTGCAGCTCAATGCGACACTCCCAAAAAATGGACTAGCACTAGAAGCACAAAGAGGAACGCCGACGTTTTCCGGAAGAACTCTCCGTTTGGATGTAGACGGAAACAGACCGGTCGTCCATTCAAGCCGTTCCCTCACGGCACAACTCTCGTTTTGGGTCCACCACCCGCCCTCGCGTCCTCGGTGAGGACGCAGCATGATTTGCGAACTTCCCCCCTGTGTGGCTCCCGGATCAGAGAGGATAGACGGCGAGAGGACTGGGTGACACGGTGTTCCTAGTAGCGTCCTTGTTCCTAGTAGTAAGGCCAGGAGCCCCTAGTAGCTTCTTGTTACTACTAGTAAGGCACCTGTTACTACTAGCGTGGCACTTGTTCCTAGTAGCGTCCTTGTTCCTAGTAGTGAGAATGCTACTATAGTAATTCCCTTTGTTCCTAGTAGCGATGACCTTGTGCCTAGTAAGGCCAGGAGCTACGTTCGCAGCGTCCGACCGCTCCGGACTCGAGTCGCGCATGCCCGGAGACGGGGCCGAAGACGGAGCGAGCCCAATGGGTCCGTCGAATCGACACCGGTGTCAAATTCGAACTCTCGCCCCGGTGCCGAGCTTCATCCTCTTGGGTCTGAACGTACACCTGTTGGTGCATATCCTTTGTGACACCAAGTTGTTTGACCAAGAATGACCAAGCTTTGTGACACCTTGTAATTCGTGCACGTACGAGCCACAAGCGACCGCTCTCGGCGCACTTAAGAGCGACGATGGACGTTCCGCTCATGGTGGATGGGTTTTTCGTCGCGGTCGGTCGCTGAAGAAGGTGAAGAAGGTCTTGGCCAGGGGTGCATAGGGGATGACGGTACATATAGGATTATATAGATTTCAAAAAGAACATCGTTCCCGTCCCCCACCCTAAAGTTTTAAGGATTTCCTGACAGCTGTTTTCAGGGCAGCGCAAGCAATGAGATGGCTTTCATGGCCATCAACTGCAAAGTGTTTTGTGCGCCGTTGCCCACCGGCAACCAGTCCAACCTAACCTAATTGAACCCAACCCAACCTGGTTAGTCATCCAAGTTCTTTGAGCTCAATTGAGCCCTTCCCACCCTGAGGCCCCCAGCAGCCGCCCTTGCCGCCCTTTTCGCACCGCGCGGATGCGGCCATCTACGAGCTCCACGTGCGCGACTTCAGCGCCAAGGACGACTCCGTGGCTGGGCCGCATCGATTCTGCATGCTAGTAGTAACAAGAAGCTACTAGGAACAAAGGGCATCGCTTCTTGTAACAAGTGCCTTACTAGTAGTAACAAGGAAGCTAGTAGTAACAAGAAGCTAATGCACCGTGCGGAGCTTGGCTTGGCTGGTGGAGGTCGGTTTCAGCTGGATGGCAATGGACAATCAAACATCGTTTGAAAGCGCAAGCGGCTGTTTTTTGAAGCCGGCGCAATATGGGAGTTCCTTCCCCCTTGATGATAGCCCATGGGCCCATGGTGTTCTGTGTGTTGTTTCGTTCTCACCATCTAGTTGGTGCGGTGTTCAACGCTTGGTCGACTCTCCAGCTACCTGTTTCTGGGATCGACTCTGCAGCCCTTGGAGAATGGGTTCGTCTCGTATGTTAGGCGACAAGTGTGGCAAGAGCTACGGCAGACCCTCCTATAGACCGCAAATCACACTGTCAGGGACTGCGTGATCTCGGGTGTGTGATGTTGGGTGTGTGATGTTGAGTGTGTGATGTGGCGGGAGGACGAGGAGGAGGAGGAGGTTTGAAAGCGCAAGCTAAAAAATAAGAACCCCACGATGGAATGTGGAGAACAGAAGTGTAAATGTTTGGCAGGGCCACGGCTAGAGGCCGACTTCAGCCTTAGCCCGTCGTTTTGCGCGCACGTGTGCCCCGGACGGCAGCCTCGAAACCCAGTAAAACAAGGGTTGGCAAAGGTCATGGCTCGCCAAGCAAGGTTCTCCCAAGCGCCAGGCCAAAGGTATATATATATATATAAGGTTCCACCCGACCCGTGGTGCCCAAGGCGCCTCCCAGCGACTTTCCATGCACGCAAGGAAACTGAGGTGTCAGTGCCTGTTCTCTTTTTCGCCGCACGGCCCCATGACGCATCCGCCTGGTCCAAGGAAGGAAGACGACCCTAGAAAATCTAGTGAATCACCTTTAAACCTTTTTGTGGGATTCGTTTCCCCATTTAAAGAACAGCCGGAAAGCTTCGCTTCGCCCTGGAGCCGCCGTCTTTGTCGCCGCTTGGTCTTGGGAAAGCCCCGGCCTTAGGTGGCAGCGAAGAAGCGAGGGAGCTACTTGGCCTTCGAGGAGGCGAGCAGCGTCGCAAGCGTCGCTCGTTGTCGTCGTCGGTCACTCGTTGTGGGCGTGGAAGAGCGATTCTGACTGGCGGGACGTGGCGGAGTGGAGCATTGGAAGGTCGATTCTTGGAGGGGGTGGAATTGGTACAATTGAAAGAGAAATCCAGTGTAAAGGGGAGGGGGGCAAGCGTTATTACATGCTACCTTAGACATTTTGTTATTTTCCCGAACTGGCTGAATCCTCTAACCTTGTGAATACGTCTATATTTGCTTTAGCCCAAACCCAAGTGTGGAACCAATGTTTTATAGCATATGATGGTACTTGACACTGACCTCTCCATGTCTTGGCGAACGGACATCCTTAGAAGTCTCTCGACCGCCACCGGGTGAGACCTGGACAACCTCGAAAACGATGTTGCGCGGAATAGTTGAAAACTGAGGGCTTCATGGGGATTGCAACCATCCGTGGGAAACACGATGCCTATACGATGCCTATACCCGTGCGACCGAACAGTCCCAGAACAGCATTAGGAGTTCTGCCAGTTTTGGGCTGTAGCTCAAGTATTTCATCGCCTCTTTCGTAGCTCAGTGCGCGGTCGCTGGGAAAAGTCGGCACAGAAACCCGAAGGCTAGGTGGTGGTTTCGGATGTATTTGCGTTCAATCTTTTCTTGGCATCATTGAACCTGTTGACAGACTTCTTCAGCTGAGACCACCAACAAAATCAGGTGCTATCCAGCTTGGAGATGTAGCAAACTTGACTTGCCGGCTTGTGATGAGAGGTGGTAGAGCCCGATATCCATCAAATTCCACCAAATTCTACGAACCTTTTGCGGTTGCTTCGACAGATCCACTTAGAATTTGGGAAGGATACTTTAAAAAAACAGTTCATTCCCATCTTCATTGAGGCTGTTGAGGACACATCCGACGATTGCCCACCTGCAACTACCTAGCCTAATAGGTGGGAGCCCCGTCGCCTGCCACGGTTCCAGGGTTTCCCACCCCAAGCCATTGAATGCTGGGTGGCTGGCTTTAAACGAAACCAGTTATCCAAAGTGTGAAACTTGACCAAAAAAAAACGGTTGCAACGCAGGTTACCTAAGCTGGAAACGTAGGCGTCGAATTTTCACAGGGCACAAAAGCGCAAATACAAGGGCGGTTCCCATTCTTGGAAGAGGAACAGACCACATGAGCAGGCAAAGGGCAAGTGGATTGCATATGGCCGCCAGGACGCTGTAAGGTCTCCGATGTTTGTTTGCGAGTTCTTCGTTGCGACTCAGAAGTTTTCATTTGTGACGGCTGCACTTTTTTCAGCCCCGCGATGGCAGACTTTTCCGTCAGCTTGGTGCGTGAGCTAGCAAGCCCTGACCAGGAAGGCACCGTGGGGGACCGGCACCTGCGGCGCTTGGCGGACAGCGGCATCAGCCATGTACACCTCCTGCCAACCTTTGACTTCGGCTCGGCGACTGGGAGAGGAAGATTTTGAGGGGGGCCGGAGGGGATCCGGATGGGCATCTCTGAAAATTGCCAACTTTGCTCAGGCCCGTGAGCGGAACATAAAGTCGCGAGTCGCACGCACCAAGTCTTGAACACTACGGTACACTACCGCGGCTACCGCAGTCCAACGTCTCACTTGTATGTCATGCGAACACAATGTGTGTGAACCCTTGGAACACATCTGAATGCTGTAGGTTCCCTTGGCCAACCCAACAGCAATAGCCATGGCAAGTTTCTGTGGTTGAGCCATGTTTTTGTGCACTTTGCACAGCGGGCAAAAACAGATGGCCTGCCACTATAAGATATGAATGTTCCACTGCCAAAGGTTCAAAGTTTTGTTTGGAGTTGGAATCGTTTTGAATCATGGCTGAAATTGGGAGAATAATCGTTTACCCTCCGGCAGTGTGTGAAAGATCCACCTTCCAATGGTCACGCGCGTGTTGGATGGATGGAGTCTTTTTGTGGGGCATCAAAACCCAATCCAGCTCTCACTGTGACAAACGCAGTAAGCAGAGCAAACCCTTGTACTGTGTTATGTTGTGGTGTATCAATGCATTGAATGAATTTGTGTTTCGTGGAGATCCACGAGCACCCATCAGTTTGACCGAGCACCTTAGAATCGGAAAAAAATAACACATGAAAGTGGCCACGGCAAAACCAAGACATGTCCATCTGTACGTTGGTTCACCATGCCAAGTCAAAGCGTTTTGCAAAGAAGGAGGCAGAGCAGCAAGTGTTGATGGCAATGTTTATCTGTGGATTGTTGCCTTTGATGTTTTTGGAGGGGTATCTCCAATTGTCTAGAAACTGTGAAAACAATCTTCATGGCAAGCAGGGCACCATAAAATTCCAAAAGAACGAAGAACCCCAAAATTGGATGTCGTAAAGTATGACAAATGAAGCCTCTCTCGTCCGCTGTCCCCGAATTCGCGTCCGCTCCAAGGTGCCCGAACGGTGCGAGGAGCGGTTGGAAGCCGAGATGCCTAGCCCCTCGGAAGGTCGGGCGTGTTACAGCTTTGGAGTGTTTGGGTGTCGGTTGGATTCTTTTTTGGAAAACCTCCCGACACACCACTCAAATCCAGGTGGAAAGTTTGGTACCTTTGTTTGGGGAAACTGAGGCGGTCCAACAATGGTGTTTGGTGTTTTAGACAAAATGTAGAGCCGTCAGATGAGTTCAGCTTCGGGATATGTTGGGATGGTGCATTTTAAAAAATTAAAAGATATAGAACAGTTTTAAAGAAAATGGACTCTTCAGCCACAGCTAACGGTGAAGGATGTGGTTTTTGCTACGTTCCCAGGAAAAGAAAAAGCTTCTCACCACCTCTCGACCACCGGAAGGCCTCAAACACTCACAGCTTCCCCACCCAATGCTTCCCTTCCCATCCCACCGCGCCCTTCACGCTTGGCTCTTCGCTTCGCGGTTTCAACCCGCGCCAGTCGGGTACCACCCACTCTCCTTCCCAGGTAAAGCGGGTCCAGACTCTGAAGGACAACAGATGGCGGTCATGGAGGTGGCCGTGCCTCGGCCCCGACACGTCCCGCATGGTTCGTCGCGGTACACGCGGCGGAGGACGCCGGATGGACGACACCTGGAAGAGACCGTTGGGCATGTCAGGCCATCTCGGTCATTTGATGTTTCTCCGTGTTGGTTTTGTTGTTCTCTAGCAGGTGTTTGATGGTGTTAGTGATCAGCTCGGACATGTTAGGAACCATTCACACAACAAGACTCGCACAACGTGGTCAAAGTACTGGCTGAGTGGAACCCTTGTAGCTGGGTTGGATCCAAGTACTATATAGTTGCAGTATATGCTTTGAAGTCAGGGTCAAAAAAACGTGAAACCCCAACACTGCACTATATCTACAGTTGTCCTTGACCCTTTTCGCTCACTGGTTGTGTACTCAACTCGTTGTTTTGTTCATAGGTGAATCTATGAGCACATAACATCCGCCACCATAAGCCGCTGAGGATCAGGATGCCTTCAACTGGGGATATGATCCAGTCTTGTTTGGAGCACCTCGCCCTGCGGAAACACGCGTTATCACGCCGCCGCGGAAGAGGGGAGGGATGTTCGGCGGAACGGTGTTTGGAACGGGGAGGGAGGCATTTGGGAGTTTCAATGATCAAACTGGGCTACTAGGAGCAAAGGGCATCGCTACTAGGAGGAAGAAGCTACTAGGGGCTCCTGGCCTTACTACTAGGAGCAAGAAGCTATTAGAAACAAGAAGTCACTACTAAACTCGTTTTGTCTTTGCATGTCATGCCCAGAAAGATGCATGCGACTTTGCCGCGAGAATGGCAGTTACCAGTCAGAGGCGGGAAGAGGTATATAAGCTTGATGTTCACCTCGATGAGTCATCCCCCATCCTTCAAATTGGTGAGTCTTCTTGAAGCTATCCATTTCTTCCTGTGTCTTTGGCATGCTTATTTGGCTTTGGGGCGGTGCATTCAGTCTAAGAATGGCTGAACTAAGGCTGAATCCGTTGGTTGGGAGGGGACATGGTGTTCAGCAAAATGGCACAATTCACAAGTTATGACCCATATAAAGCAGTTCGAAGAAAAAATTGTCTATAAGTGTAACAAACATTAACAAACCACCACATGTTTTTTTGGAGAGTACGCAAGATAGGCAAGATTGATTTAAGTTTGAATATAGGCTGTCACATACCAGGACCCTCCGACTGGTCACCAATTGAGACCTGTTAGGGTCCAACAACCCTCAACCAATTGAGCCTGGCCAGGAGGGTGCTGGTAGGTCTCTCTCACACCAGCAGTCCCAGGCGGGCGGAACCTACTCCGTTCGGTCAAACCTCAGGTGCCCGAAGGCTCCTATGCCTCTGACCCCGACGGCCTGGCTCGGGTGCTGGAGCACCGGCGCATGGTCACAGGACGACCGGAGCGACACGCGACGCACCGGCGAAAGGAAATGATGGAGGGAAGGAACAGTTCAGATACTGACGATCTTTAGTCATGAAGTACAGGAATTTCGAAGTTCCTATACCTGGGGTTACCTTGTCAGACCAAAGGTGGTGTTGGAATGCCAGGTTTTGAGGAGCCGAGCAAACATCTGCAGATCAGGATTGGCACGCGCCCGTCCTTTTAAACAAGTTTGTTCCACCAGGAGGGTGGACAAGCTTTGCCGGCCTATCTAATTACATCACCAGGAACTGGTAGTTCGCCCAACGACCAAATCCTCGCCCCCACCAGATGACACGGACAAAAAGAGTCACAGCATCTCACACCCAGCTGCGTTGGCTCCTACGGAAACCGGGTCAAACGCAGTGGCTGTCGGCACAACGCAGACCACACGAAAAGAAACGACGGTCCTCAGGGTCCGACCGAGCCGCCGCTGCAGACAGGACTTCACCGAAAGGGTCTTCGAGTGGTGGCCGATGTGGTCTTCAACCACGTACCGTGGCAGGTTTCGAGACGACGAGACCGGCGGATTTGGAGTGGCGAGATGGAAAGAAAGTAAGGAGCAAATCTCCGACCTGATGAGGTGGGACATGACTATTAGGAGCCTTCGGACGCTAGGAACGGGGCGACCCTGGCCTTACTACTAGGAAAAATGTTCGCTATGAACGGGGCTCCTGGCATCGCTACTAGGAGCAAGGACGCTACTAGGAGCAAGGGGACATTGAGGAACCATGGAACTTTTCACGGAACGGCCACCCGTCGAGAAGAAGTCGGAACGTCCACAGACACTCAAATGCCTTCCTGGTGTGTGATAATACTCCTCACCTCTGTTATCTCAAGAAAAAACAAATCAAGACAAAACAAACAAAAACAAGAATCATTGATATGTTGATGAAATAAAGCCTTTGAACATCAGTCCACAAATCATTGAAAAAGTCCGTTTGGTCTTGGATATGGTCCGCCAGTGATGATCGGCGCCCTCATTCCGGAGTGGATCGGTGGGATTCCAGGGATTCGCTGAACTTGTTTGCCTTGGTTGTTTCCGTTTCATGGTTGTGGTGTTGTTGTTGTTGTTGTTGTTGCTGCTGCTGCTGCTGTTGCTGTTGCTGTTGGTGTTGTTGTTGCTGTTGGTGTTGCTGCTGTTGTGGTTGTTGGTGGTGGTGGTGGTTCTGCTCTATTGCTGCTAAGGGATATCTCCCATACCAAGGTCTTCGGCAGTGGCCCCGTCGGTCCTCACAGCGTGTTGGACAAGTGCGTGCCCGGCTACTACCTTCGGCGCAGCCACTGGGATTGAGCCGAAGTGTGTGGACCAAAGAAATATGAGTTTATTGAGAAGGATGAGCCAAACAAGTGACTGGCAACTAACGAGTTGCTTGACAAGTATGTTAATGTTGACATAACGTGATGATGATTGTTTCTGGTTCAGAGAAGGGCATCAGAAATAGTCGTACATTGATTCAGATTGAGGAGCACATCACGTCCCTGGAACAGAGTGATGAAGTCTTGAAGGGCAATAGATGATCCTTGCACCAGTTGCAGCATTGCAACTCACCGTGCCTGACCCGCCTGAACCTCTCAGCAGTGCGGAGTACCGTGTTTCCACTCTTCCTTGGGCCCACTTGTGCGAAAAAAGCATCTCCTTTACCTGACATGTTTTGAGATTTGCATCCCACAACCAGCTTTTGATACGAAATCTTCCCGGTCTTCGGAAGAACCAGCGGTCACGAAATAGCCTCACCTCCCACATTGCAGACTCCGACAGACCACCTCGCGCTCGACTGTTTGGAGCGTCACCCGGTCGGTTCCCGGCGTGCCGTACTTTTTCTGGGCGTCGCCCAGGTGAAGATGGGAAGGTGGAGAACTCCACCTGCATGACGCTCCGCTGGGCCAAACGATCGTTATGTGTGCGACCGTTTTTTGAAGCACCGTTCAGGGAAGAGCCTCCGAACGGGCGAAGAAATGGAGCGTGTATGTGGAAGGTGGACTCCGGTTTATTTTGAAGCTCAGATGGGGGGCGGCCATTTTTATAGCAATATCTGAAGTTTGGAGGAGAAGAGAGGGGTTTGTTCTTTAAGGCAAGTCAGCCAGCGTCAGCCTGTCAACCGGCTTTTACACCTGCGAGTAAGAGACACTGATGTGGAAGGCTACTCTCCACGGCCCACTAGTTTTGCTGGAATACTTGAGACCGAAAATATGGCTCCCTCTTAAACCCAATCGATCACTCAGAAATGCACTGTGCTCGATGCGCACGTCTCACCGTTCACCGTTCCACCCGTGTGCTGCGCACGGTGCGCAGCGAGAAGGAACAACACGGCGACCGAGCGCTACATGATGGAACGCCACGTCGTCGACATGCTGAAGCGTTGGGTGAAAGAGCAGCGAGTGGATGGTTTCCGCTTCGACTTGATGGGGCATTTGACTCTGAGAGCCATGGCAGTCAATAAAAAAAGAACAATTAAAAGTAATTACACAAGAAACTCTCTCTTTGGTTGACTTTCGAGCAGTCCGTGGTCTGAAACAAAATGGAAAGAGCTCACCAGCTTTCACCTGTGCCTGACCGGTCCCCCGAGACGGCGACGTCGAGACCCCTTTCTTTCGGTGGGGTCGGAAGGCCGTGAGCTTGAGAAGGTGGTGTGTCTTTGGGGGGGTAGAAAAAACACCCACAGCCTACAGGATCCTACAGGTGTGCTGAAACTCTGTGTGCAGGTTTTGTTTAGATAGAAATGCTTTTGAAATATGGACATTGAGATTCCGATCCAAAACGCTTCATCAACCCTAGAATCCTAGAACCTTAAAATGAAGAAATGTCCCTTTACTGACTTGTGCCTAGTAGGGAATGAGGGAATGGATCCAAAGGAATCTCAATTGTATCTCATTCCCTTATTTCCTGCTAAGCACCGGTCAGTTTATAGGGATGGGACGTGACCCACCTGGAGCTAAAACATCCATCATGTAAGCGTTCACGACCGGTCCAGTCTCATGGTGCGACCCACAGCCAATATACAATGCTCCTAGTAGCGTCCGAACGCTCCGTTCGTAGTAAGGCCAGGAGCCCCTAGTAGCGTCCTTGTTCCTAGTAGCGATGCCAGGAGCCCCTAGTAGCGTCCTTGTTCCTAGTAGCGATGCCAGGAGCCCCGTTCGTAGCGTCCTTGCTCCTTCGTGAAGTCATCACCTGCCACGCCGCCATCCCCAGCGCCTTCGGAATCGACCTCCACGGTCGCCCGCCCTTGACGCGACTCGTTTGTCTCGTCGGTCTCAGGATGCATCCAGAGCCTTCGCTGTGCGAGAGTCGGCGTCGGCATCGGGTGGCAAGTTGTGAAAGAGGTAAAGTGTGTCACACCTTCCGTGTCAGGGTGAATACTAAAAATCCACAGGATTCTTCAGGGGAAGCTTTAGCTCATTTGGATTTGAGCCACCAAGTTTCTTGCATGCCCAGTTAGTGGTTAACCTGTAATCTTTTTGGGGAGGTCTGCCTGAAGGGGAGGAAGCGGCTTCGGAGGATGGCAGTTGCCATCGGTTGCCATGATTGAAGCGAACTGAGAAAGTTGCTGCTGGACACCACCGACTTGCTGATTTTTTTCTCAGAAAAAGGTGCTCAGCCATGCTCTCCGCTGTTCGGATCCAAATTGCTTCCAACGTTCAACCATGTTCAACCCCCAGGGTTTGGGTGTGAATTTCGACGTCAAACACCCTTAGCGAGGCTTACTAGTAGCTTAGTTTCGCTACCAGTAGCCATGCCCGTCTACGTCCCTCCTAGTAGCGAGGCTTTAGACGTATTTCGCACCCCGTCAAGCTCCTTTCCACCAGGAAGTGTCGGCAAGCCTTGGATGAGTTCAGCTTGGAGGAGCATGGCGTGGATGGCCCCAGGCGCGGACCGGTCGGTCCGCTGTCTGGTGGGGCGGTGGTGGAACCGGTGTGACAGTGGCAGGGCGGGACGTGGATGGCGGTTTTCCCCGGTTTTGGATGATCATGAAATGCTAGGAAATGCGATGGTTTTTCCACTGGTGGTTCTGCCATGTTAGCTCAAAAGGCTTTGTGATATACCTTGGGATAAGTTTTCATAAGATCAGAAGCCCATTAATCAAGCCTCTATGTAGTTGTGAACATCTTCAGAATGTTCCAGGACGCCCGTGCTGTCAAATGTCGGACTCACGTAAGGTTGCTGTTCCCCACGTCCACGTCACCACTGCTTGGAGTTCCTCCAGTTGGGGGGCACGACGCGCGCCGGATACTCCTCACCCAGTTCCTCGCCCAACTCCATGGGTCACTTTTCACACTCAAAGCGCATCCCCACCGCTTCCGCCCTGCGTATGGCAGGTTGTTGCTCTACGGCGAGGGCTGGGAGTTCGGCGAGATCGCCCAGGGCGCGCGTGGTGTTACGGCCGTGCAGCGGTCCCTAGCGGGCACCGGAGTGGGCTCCTTCAACGATGGGCTGCGAGGCGGGGCCCGCAGGCCTCGCTCCAAGGAGCCCATAAGGAGTCCTTCCATGGGGCGGTTGCCCGGTCGACGTGGATGAACGTCATGAGTAAAAAGTGATCGACACATGAGTCTCTTTAAAAGAGCGCTGAGGCAGATCGCTGTAGACTTGGAGAGAAACATGCGATGTGTTCACATCTAGAATCTAGCAGATTCTAGCAGCAATTGGACTTGTGAGTCATTGTAAATCTGCCCCTGGCGGCGTCAACTTCTTTTCCAGATGATTACTCCTCCAAAGAAGGCTCTCACGTTTGTTCAAACATTTCCATGCTCACAGTTTGTTGTGAGAAAGAGACGAAAAAACAAGATATGGTTTGAACACCTGCTAAGTGGCGCGCACAAGCGATCGACTATGAAGTGCGTTCCATTGGATCCATTGGATTGCTTCTAGATTCTTGTTCCGTTCGTAGCGTCCTTTGCTCCGTTCGTAGTACGGCCAGGAGCCCCGTTCGTAGCGTCCGATCGCTCCGTTCGTAGCGATGCCAGGAGCCCCGTTCGTAGCGTCCTCATGTTCTATTGGATTCTAGCTACTATGTTATTGAAGATTGCAGGCGCAGCCTTGGGCGGCAATGCCTTTGAAGATCCCCGAATCCAAGGCGGAGAGGGGAGGATCGACCGTAGACCCTGCTGTGTGGAGTTGCGTCGATTTGCGCAGTATTCCGTTGCAGTCGAAAAGGATCGTCTACCATCATATTTCACCACTCACAGTATATGGTGTGGACATTTGACGGCAAGTTCTTATACATCAATTGATCAATGAAGAAGATGCGTACAACAAAGTATAACAATTATACTGCGTTATACTTCGACTCATTCGAACAACTCATCGAACAACTCAATACTACGATGTTGCGTCGAATTGCGGAGATGAGTTGTTCAACTGCCGAGAGATCGATGCAGTAGACGAGTAGAAAGATGCAGTAGTAGTCACTGGCAGTCGGCGCATGTACTTGCAGTGAGACACATCAGTTGAAGTGCATGGATATGCGAAGGACCATGACCAGGGTCGTATTGAAATGGAAAAGTTCGGAGTTCGGAATTTTGCACTGGAAATAGACTTGAACTGCCAATGGCGTGAAGGTTTACAGACCTTATCCTTGACTGTGCCAAGGGGTCGGGGTCAAAAAACGTTCTAGTCGCAGCGTTTGGGAGATGTTCGATGAACATGTCCTGAGCCCCGAAATGTCCTCCAACTAGAGCAACCACTGTGAGTTTGTGCGGTTTCTTGAGTCTATGATTTCTCCAATGGACTGGGAACCTCACCGTCCGAGAGGACGCTCCTTGGGCGAACGCCGCCAGGCTTTTGCACTGGCCTCGCCTTGCGCCAAGGCGCGGAAGAGGTGCAGCAGACCAACGCGTGCCTGGGGCCAATGACGTGTTTCACCGGTTTTCGGGATGGCGGTTATGAAAGAGATTGAGGCTTATTTGTTTGACAGCATAGTCGCTGACTTAATAGTGACTTAATAGTATGGAAGGAACAAGTCGGATGCTCTCCATGTGTCTCCATGATCAAGTAGCTAGCGTCGAATCATAGATTCATATTCTTGAATGCCTCTTACATGTTGGTTTTTGACACACGTAATTCCCGTAGCCCGATGAAGGGGACCTTGGGGACCACACGGCTTTCTCTTTGTGGTGTTTGGTGGTTGCTCTTGGGTTGTGGACCAGGTGCTGCTGCATGACCCGGTCCTGCTTTTCACGGCGTTTCCATGGGCCGACTTGAGATTTTACAGTGCGGTTGCACTCACCAATTACAAAAAGTAAACAATGTGACAATGTCCTTAAGCTACCCAGGCAGTCGTTCATGAGAAGATCATGTGGAAAAAACTCGGAATGTTGATTTCTCACAGTTTGCTCACAGGTTCTGTATACAAGGCATCAACCTTAGACCTGCGTCGAATACCGCAATCAGTTCTAGTCTAGTTCAGTTCACGTACCTCCCACACACATCCCTTTTGGATAGCCAACAGATCCAGCAGAAAGCGGTGAATACGTGTTTTTCCTGTCCTAACTGGTGATCCAAACTGCCCAAACCCAGGAAGCAGATGGAGTTGCTCCGCATCGCTGCTGACAACATCAGGCCTTGATGGAGGGTGTGTGCTGGGAAAAGATCTGAGGAGAGAAAGAGAGAGAAAGAGAGAAAGAGTCACAGGTGGAATTTAATCATTGACTTCACCCAGAACCTATCTCTATTCTCTAGTGGTGTCTCCGAAGGAATTAGCGAAAATTTGGCGCACAGAAGTTCTGGTGGGCCAGGAGCCCCGAACGTAGCGTCCTTGTTCCTAGTAGCGATGCCCTTGTTACTAGTAGCTTCTTGCTCCTAGTAGTAAGAATGCTCCTAGTAGCGATGCCAGGAGCCCCGTTCGTAGCGTCCGATCGTTCTGACCTTATTGGATTGTGCGCACATGGGATGATCGTGCCACCTTTCACCAAAGCGGGGAAAAATCCGTGGTGACCAGATCGTTGCTCCAGATCCTTGCCGTGGCTTTTTGGCGGTTTGACGAGGTTGATTTGTTCGTACTTGGTGAATTCCCTTCCAAATAATGTAGTCTCTCCCGGTTTCGAACAAGCAAATCCAAGCTTGGCCAGGCTCTGCATGGCTGGCGGTTTGAAGGACTACAAGCTGCTGGTCCGGATCAAAGCACTCGAATCAAGAGCAGTCTCCCCAATGAAGCCGGCAAGTGTGCCGCCTTAAGGTTGCCGTGAAAATCATACAAACAAGAAATTGTCATATGGCGATGCGATTCCAAGTTGTTTATGGTGTTGGAACATGATGTGTGCAACGCAATATTCTAAATATTGCACTTCTTGCGTGCTTTGGATAGGTGGCCGTACTTCTGTAGTGGCATGTGGCATAGAGAGAGAGAGAGTATGTACGAATATGCCGAGTGATGTTCTTCATTGCTGAAGGTCTACTGGGACTTGACCTTATTCAACGGGCACCATGAATAAAATTGTTGGAGAAAAGGAAACTAGACAAATACCTATTCAAAGTTGCAACGGTCATTGAAAGCTCAAGATTCTGCAATTCATTGAAGCCAGAAAATGTGCCCCCACTGTTTGCGCTGAAGTTTGTTGTTTATTTTTTATGCGGGATATTCTTCAATTTGCACGTATTCCACAATTGGATTGACGAACACAAGACGGTTATGCACCAGAAAGGCTAGGAAATGGCACGGAAAGGAAAGAAAACCAAGGTTAGCACTGGGAAACAGAAGAAAAAACGGTCGGGCTGAAGGAAGAACATATCGGTCGGAAAGGGGCAGACCAAAAAGGAGCGAAATTGAAAGTAAAACTAAGGAAGGATCATCAAGGAAGACAGACACGAACAAACACAAACGGAAGACCAAGGAAAGATCAGGCAAGGACACACAAGACGAAGCTACCCAGAAGAAGAAGGACGAAAAAACGGAAAGCAAAGGAAAGAACAACAAGCAAGTTTAAAAAGCAAATACCAACAAGATTGGAAAAGACAAAACAAATGCAACAAAAGAATGCAGATAACACAATGTTCATGGTGCCGGGTACTTGTTGTTGTGTGTTTGGTTTGCGCACCCTTGTGCATCTTCATGGTAATTTCATTGTTCAGAATCTGGAAAATGTTGATAGGGTGTCTTGCAGTGATTGGCTTTGAATATGGCCTTTCGGAGCTGCGTTTGATCCGGTTTAACTTTTGAGTGATTAAGTGACCGGCGTTTGTTTATTCATGAGAACATGAATGATTAAATGGTATCGGTATATATGTATAGGATTGTATAGGTATCATTTTGCTAATAAGTAGAGAACAAATAATTTGGCAGTACAGAAAATGTTCAAATATTTTATTGAATGATGTGTTTTGTATATATTTTCATATATGTTCAATCAGCTCAAGCTTACAAAACTCGTGATGCAAAACATGGTCGTACAGATACATAGAAATGATGAGACAAATCTTGTTTTTGAACAACTAGGAAACCCAATGACACAAATATATAAATGTGATAATGAATTTCCTCAAATCCAAAAAAAAATCCCATCCCAGGTTGGAGCAAGACTGCTTCGGTCGTCGAGCCTTGCCTGCGGGCCAACTGCATGGCGGCCATGCGGCCTACGTCTCTGCTCCCGACGCCTGACCAAATGCTCCACGAGTGGCTGGAGCAGTGGTTCTACCACCACAGAAGGGAGACCTGTTGTGTTTGGGAGTAACTATACTCCAAATAACTACACACTTAAAGTGTTGAAAACCCGAGAACTAGCCTGAAATGTCGGCTGTGAGTCAAAACCTGGAACGCTCAAGCCTCCTGACCTCATGTCGTTGAGTCCCTTTCATGTCGGGTTCCACCGGTCTGTCCCCCGCACCGAACAACGGCACCGTACCGTACCTGCGTGCGGTCATTCAGGATGCCCCGGTGTGGAGAAACGGGTGAGATCTGAGATCAACCGGTGACGGCCACACCGGGTGGTCCGCCGATCGATGGGCGGACCAACGGAACCGGAACGGCGAGAACTCGTGATTGCGAAGACGAACATCAAAACGAACATCAGGCGAAGTCATCGTTGGCGTACGCGGTGTGTGAAGGTTTCATGTGCGGTTCATTAATGGTGATTCTTTCCTTGTAGCCTTCTGATTGACCCCGTGCTACATCCCTCATCCTCCAACACGTGGATCACGCTCTGACACCGTGAGGGCCACGGTCTCTCAGGAAGAAGCCGTCAACTTCATTTGCGTCCATGACAACGAGACCCTCTATGACAGCACTGCCGCTCGGCATCGGTCCGGACGCGCGGCATCCTTCGCGGCCAGCTGGATCCCATACACTACGAGTGTGTTTGGGATAGGGACGAAAAAGAGAAAACGGGGTATTTCGGATGAACCGTTTGCACGAGCAGATTCGGCTGCTGTGGAGGATGTGCAGTTTTTGCAATGCTGCGCTTCACAACATGTTATAGAACATGCGTCTTTCCGCGTTTGGTATTTCACTAGTCTGGTAAATGAGTAAACCCTCAGTTCCAGCGAAAAAGACCATCTGGAATGCAGAGAACCTTGGAACATGTTTCCGAGACACGGCTCTAGTTGACATGCTTTGACCAATTTTCGTCATTGGATGTCTCCTTCTTGAGTCATTGGATGTCATCCTCAGCTCTCACCCACACCGCATCCTCCCACACGAATCACGAATCACGTCGAATCGCGTGGAGGTTTGGAAGATGCCTGCTGTCAGCACCACGCCAGAGGAGCATGTTTTGTTGCTTTTGGGGGATGGGTCATATTCTTCCCAAGCTGGGTGAATGCCCCAAACTGCAAACTGCGCGGGGAAGACTTGATTTGCATGGTGGGCTTCAGATATTTGTGTTCAATTTTTACTTAAGATGATTGAACCTACTGACCAATATGTTGAAAGCACCAACCAGTGCTATTTTGGACCGGTTCCTGCCAAGCAAAGCCCCACAGGAGCGTGTGAGGGCCAACTGGCTTTGCACCGCCCCTCGGCGAGACGATGGGAACGTGGTGGGGACAGGGACGTGGGGACCAAGTGGGTGTGCTTCTTCAGGGGAACAAGGCGAGCATCGCGTAGCAAGTTCAGGAGATGAACTCAATCAAGTTCAATATTCTTAGAATAGATTGGGAATATGATTTTCTGCATATCCTAGAAGAAGTTCATTCAATCATATTCAATCTAAAGGTTCTTGCCTCTGCGGAGTACCCTACCTCAGGCGATCATGGAAGCAGGCTGCAGGCCCCACTTGTAGAGGAAAATGGCTTGCCAGGGCCTATGTTCCACTTGCATGATTGTTTCCGGAAGCGTTGCCGTGTGTTTTTTACCTAACCAACCGGTGAGAAACCCAGCGCATGATCGGCTGGCTCCCGAGTACTCAGGCCATCTTGGCTCTCGGCCACGGTGTCCCTCTCTTCCATGCGGGCGACGAGGTTTTACGCCGCCTGCGCCGCACAAGTCGCCTCGCCGGCACGTCGCGGAGGAGGTGGGATGACCATGCGACGTCGCGATCGAGTCATGAGGCAACATGACCCAGTAATGTCTCTTGATGAATCAAACCCCCCCCACCAGCCCCATCTGAAAAATGGTTTTGACATCCTCCATCATCCACAATGGTTTTGCATTCATCAACCATCTACCTGTATTTTACACTCCAAAACCAGGTCAACCGAACCCTGTAAATGGTGGAACAGAAGGCGAACAGGTCTAGATCCATTCAGGTGCCAGACATAAAAGAAACGTCGACATCCAACCACACACTATCACGGTGCTGGTCCTCCCCTGGCAATCCAAGACCATCTCACTCGCTGACACCAAAGGAACTTCCTTTACTTCAGTGTGGTAAAATAGGAGTGTGTAGTAAAACTAGGGAGATCTCCCAACCTGTTCTGGAAGAAGGGAAGTACTTCATACAGTTACAGTAGACCCAAAATCCATTGAAATACACCCCCACACTCTCCTTCCCAAGGCTCCACCCACCGAGTCCCGGTCGAGTCCCATCCGTTCGTTGGATCCGATCGAGTTGAGGATCCAAATCGTTGGACCGGGACAGCTACAACAGCGGCGACTGGTTCAACTGGTGCCCTGGAAAAGACAGAGGAGGGTCCCAGGGTGAGAAAGAGAGGCATGGAGAATCCTGGGTCACCCCAAAGTCACCCCAAAGTCACCCTACCGGTGAGTAAGGTGTGTTTGGGTGTGATGATTGATGCCTTCTCGGTGTTTCATGAGGCCTTGCAACATGTTTCTCGTTTGTGTGGGTTCCATGTGCTTCCCGAAGCGTGGAACGTCTCGGTGAAGCATTCGGCGTTCGTTCTCTTCGTGGAGACACGGTCCATGACTGGTCCGACCATCCTTCCGGTCGGGTTTTGCATATCTGGCAGCGAGAGGCTTTCAGCTGAATCAAGTCACTGGAGGAGAGAAGAAGAAGAAGAAGAAGAGGGAACCTGGTGTTCCAAACCCTTTTTTCTGCCAGGCTCTCCCTTCGGTGCTCCATCAAATCAAACAGAAATCCACAGGTTCTCCGCCCAAAAAGGAAGCATCACGAGACGGTGCACGACGTCCCCGTCCGAATCGGCGTCAGGTTGGACTTCACCGGGAAGCGCTCGGGCTTCGGCCGTGGCTTGCCCCCATGGGGCAAGAACCACACCAAGTGGGCGGCTCGGCGGGCACCGTGTGGGCACAGAGCCAGCGGGCGGAAGAGGGAGTCTGAGGGAGTCGGGAGTTGGTGGACAATCATACCCTTACACTCCTGAATTGCACGACTCCTTACACTCCTACTCTTTCGTTTCGTTGTTTTTGTTGGGCACATGCCTCCACCGTCGGGACCTGGAGCACCGTGCCTCGAGAGGATCAAGGCCTCCAAATCAGTGAAGAATTCCAGCAGGGCTCCGGCCTCCAGGTGTTTTTCTATTTTGAGAAGAACAGAACTCCATGCAGGTAGGTGAAGGTGGTGAGTGGATGTCACGAAACCTTCCAAAGTATCTCATCTCCATAGAACCAACCTGACCTGCTGGGCTGTCCCGCCACAGGGGGCTGCTATTGGATGTCCCGGCCGCGCGGAGGTGCGCGTCGACCTGCCCAGGAACTGATGAAGCCCTTGCTGCGGGACCAGACCTTGGCACCGACGCCACAAATGGCGCAGAAGACCACGGAGAAGTTCTGCCCACCGGACGGAGGGTGGTCGAAGAGGTTTTAGGTTGAAGTTGGTTGAAGAGAGTTTAGGGCTTTGCCAGGGCCACTGTTGGGATGCGGATTCTGGCACCAGGCTCCTTTTCCTTCGCACGAATCCGAATGTAAGATGTAATTGAAAGAAGCGAATTGATATCAGACATGCGACAGGAAATAAAATCCGATGGGATGTGTTTCTCGCTCGTAGGAGCACGCACTCACGAAAACGCACGTTCCACCGAAGCCGCGCAAAACCGCGTGGCACAGTGACATCACAGACGGAATTTGGCCACTGGGCATGCCACATACTAGATACAACAATGTAACACCAAGCCTCACCCCAGCGACACGCCAAATTTACACCAGCATGCTTTCCTTCCCCCAATGGCACAGGCTCACGCAAACACTTTTGCCACCGAAGCCGCGCACAACTGCATGGCACAGCGACATCGAAGACGGAATACGGCCACGCGGTATACAATGTGTCTTGCGACATACCCGACACTGCCTGTTGAACATAGAAGAAAACTCAAATCAGCACACATGTTTGAAATTGTCAATCTCATAAGAGACGTCTTAAGTTGCAACACAAACCACGGTGCTGTTGCGATTGCACGAACAGGCCATCTAATTTAGTTCGCTGCCTTTACCACACCTGATCCTTGGTCAAAGACAGAAACACAGCTCCTGCAAGCAAAATGTAAGCTCAATGAAACGACTGGTGAGCTATCAGCGCAAGATATGTCCAAAGGAGCCAGCTTTGCAGTGAGCTTAGGGACACTGGTTGGCCTGCAAGGAAGGGAAGCATTTCTCAAGCTTTACCATTCTGTGGTCGGGGCTCTTGAAATACTCTTTGATGGAGAGTGAAGATGTTGCAACAAACCGATTTCCGCACGTATGGTCAGAGAATCCGTGAGATGCAAAGGACAGCTTCCCAAGTGCTCGGTGATGCCCTGTTCACCAGCAATATCGTTGAGGAGTCGCGCAAACGTTCAGCAAGAAGACATGATGTGTTTGCGAGATGGAGGACTCAACTCAATCTTGTCGAGTTGGATGATTTTGAAGACGTGATCATTTACTTGACAGAAAGGTACGAGAGCCCTCGATCTAGCACTCTCGGTACTTCTGGAGAAGTAAGAACACTGACAATTAGAAGATGCTTGACAGAGGGGGTCGAGTAATTGCCTATCATATTAGAAGACAGGTCAAAGTCGGCTTCCATCTACAATGATAGGAAGGCAAACTAGATCAAACTAGTATCCTCCAATGCAAAACACGATGCCATGAGATGAGAGAGGAGATGAGATCACTCTTAGGCCCAGGCTTCACCAGATCAATGAACTTTGCGCACTTTCAACACGAACATTGACAAAGTGCCAATTGACATGACGTTTTGCCTCGCCATTGCTCCCACTCCAATCGCAGGATCTTCTCTTGATTATCTTGCACCATGGGTACACCCAAGGACCTCACGCTATGTAGCACCAGACGAATCTGAGAACACCAAGCTTCCTCCGATTCTCTCAAACTATTCAACGCACTTCTCAAACCATTGCCCTGACTTCGTGAGTGTAGATGGGAGGAAATACAGCCATTCATCTCTTTCTTGCAAAAGGAGTCGTTGCAAATCGGTATTTGAATACGATTGAAGGCATGGGGTGAAAAACTTCAATGCTCCAGACGTGTTGTCTATCAGACAATAGAGCAGAAGATTATGACACCAGAAGGAGGTGCAAGACCCATATTTGCAGGCCCTCACCCACAAAGATGGTTACCCTCTAATGTAACCTCTGCAGCAGCTGAGGTGTGCAGGAGAGTGCCACACAGCACAGATCACTTGTGGATACCAAGCGTACGCTTTTGCATTATTACTTGCCTGTGCAGCAGCAGCATTGCTTCATCCGAGTTGCGGAATAAATGCAGATATCAGCGGGTCGTCTCCTGGAACGCGATGTACATGGCATTGCGATCAAGCAGGTTGACCCTGGGAGGGGGTGACCTTGAAAATAGGTACACAGAGAGCAAGTTAACAAGAGTCAGCAACGGGATTGCAAATGGCCAAGGTTCACAAGTCTTGTGGTCCATCAGGATGGTTGCATGCTCTGAGGACTGGTGCACGGGTTCAGGCTCCTGACAGATTGCTTCAGCTCCTTCAAGAACACAATGCCGCTCCAGGCCATGCCGTGGGTATGCAGACGCATGCGAATTGGGTCATTGGCAACGTTCAGAATCAGATAAATCTGATCATGTTGACAGCAGTGTGCCAATGGGAAGGGATGGATCCCTATCAGTATTTGATCTCCATGTCGGCGGAGCAGTTTGTTCCTTGTTTGCATTCAAATCGACACCAGTGGCAAACTGGCAGCCAAATGTCTTCTGTGCTACTGGAGCAAATCCTGGAGGTGGGTCCTGGCTGGAACACCGGAAACACCTCTCAATGACATCGCGATGCAACGTTCTGCGAGAACAAATGTGATTAGGATGACTGGAGCAGTGACGAAGCAATGTTTGCAAGGAATCAAGTTTGTGTGAGCTACTTTGGAAGAAGATGTAATTCCTGCTGCATTTGCAATTCCCACAGAAAGGTTCACAAACGTATCACCAACGACAGCAAGGTGCAGAACTTTGCTGGTTGCTGCTCGCGTTACTGGAGTTGCTGATGGTGCTGTGAGTGGGCTTGCTATAGCAGAGAAACAAGGTCAATTTCTGGTCGCCTTCGTTGACGAGTACCTGCAGAGCTTGACAAGAGGGAAGCAATATGACCTTGGTTTCCATTTGGCAATACATAGGTCTGGCGGCAACCATCTTTTCACATCTCTTTGTAGAACAGAAGATGATTGAATTCCTTGCTCGGTTGCGAATGGCTCATCAGATTTCTGAGAGCGTCGATGACAGCCGGTTGTTGATTGGGATTTCAGCGAGGGTTACTTCCTTGTTGATGGGAAAACCGCTGTCACTTCTTCTGGACTTCCAGTACATGAGACAGGTCTCTGGTCAAATCCATTGATAACAAGTTGCAAACTCTGGAACCTTGAAGGATTTACGTACGACGACACCAACTTCATTGACCAGCTTGATTGCATGACAAATGAGATCACGCTCTGGAAATATTCTCTCACAGGTTCATACCGTGGTCGCGCATTCACCCACGAGTGGGTGATTGACAATTAGTTGATGCTTCATTTCCGGATTTGGCGTGAGCGTTTGTCTTTGGGACATGATATCTGAGAAATTGGGCGCTGAAGGTTCCTGCGCATGAGATCCTTTATGATCCAGATCGGCGACCTTGCCATTTCCAAGCAGGCTTTGACCGGAGTGGTCAAGGTCGACACGGTTCCCACGTGCACATTGAAGCTAGAACTTTGGCAGAAATGTTCATGCCACAAGATAATCCTGGTCACGCACTTACACCACAAGCAGATTCACAAACATTCGGGATGCACTTCCAATGCAAATACCTCCCAACAAGCACAGGCACAACACTGGGAGAAATACGCAAGCGTCGCATTCGAGCTGATACAACCATGTAACACCGAACGTCGTGAGCACCGCCAATCACCCCGCTCCCCAGCGACGCGCCGAATCTACACCAGCATGCTTTCCTTCCACCAATGGCACGGACTTGCCAAACCGCATGGCACAGCGACATCACAGACGTAATCTGGCCACATGGTGCGCGACGGACTAGGCACAACAGAATGGTGGGTGTATTCCATTTGTGTTTGTACTACACAGTTGCCAGTTCTGAAGCCATCCAGAAGCTGCTTCCTGTACTACATTTGGAGGTCTCGCCAGAAGGCACGTCTGAAAAGTTTGTCGTGAACTTAGTGGACGAGCCTGCCAGCTCTTTGAGGAGGTGCTGAGAGGCCTGACAAGACCTGCATTCAGGAGCAGGATGAGCATGTCTTAGGCATGCTGCCTTTTGATGAGAAGCTGCGCCCTAGCAGTACCCGCGCTAGTGTGGTGTACTGAGATGGAGCAGCCACGAAAGTTGTTGGCGGTGCCTTTCCAGCTATCCAGCAAATACACGGGCCTATCGAAGAACAAGCCCGCCTGGCCTGCCATCCTCACATCGTCCTACACTTTGTAAGTTGAACCTCGCACGCTTGGCTTTGCAAGATTTTGCGGGCGGAGACAGATAAGGCCAAGTGCTTGCTGCGAACCTGGCAAGCACAGACTACACTGGCAGTGGAAAGCATCATGTCAAGCTGTGTGGGCAGTTCGGTTGGTGGAAGTTGGGCCCGAAGATTTCGATTGTATTTGTAGTACATCTGAATAGGTTGCCAGTTCTGAGGCCACAACCCCAGAAGCTGCTTACTACATGTTTACGACCAAGTGACTCTTGTCGGGCACTCTTGTGGGACGCTCTTGCGTAAAACTCTTGTGGGACACTCTTGTGACTCTTGTGCTACCCTCTTGCAGGACACTCTTTTTGAGACACTCTTGTAGGACTCGCGCCGGACGCTCTTGTGGGACACTTTTGCGGACAAGTCTCTTGCGGGACACTCTTGTGGGACCCTCTTGTCGGACACTCACGGACGACACTCTTGTGAGACACTCTTGCCGCACACTCTCGTGTGACACTCTTGTGGGGTGCTTCCTGTCTCTCGTGGGAAAATCTTGTGGGCACGCTTGCGGGGTACTCTTGCTTCCTCCAAAAGACACGCGTCAAGTCTCCAAAACGAGCGCACGTCAAGTCTGCGAAACGAGCATTTCGCACGAGACGTCCTCAAAGACTCACACTTCAAGTCTGCAAAACGAGCGTTCCGTACGAGACTTCCAAAATTCACGCGTCAAGCCTCCAATACGAGCGGTTCGTACGAGATTTCCTTCACATGTGCAGCGGGAGAGACAACACATTCTGCAGCCCTGCCAAGCAGCTTCCCAATCCGGCCCCTCAAAACCACAACCGCGTCACAGAGACATTCACCTCCACCAAACATCGCAACCTCACGATTCCCTGCGCCTGCAACTTCGACGCCTCCAACACGCACAAAGTACTGCGCCTGCCACAAAATGTGAGGATATGCAAAAACGACCGCGCATAATCTATAGAATCTATTGAACCTATTGTGCCTGCCACACAAAGCCCACTTCCACACGCTGCGAAGGCATGATTTGGAGCGACTTCGCGCTGCCATTACAATCAGATAAGCATTGTAGCACGGACGACCGCAGATCCAATTGTACTGAAGGGCTGGTCCAACCATACTTTAAAGTGTTGTTCTGGTGAACAGCAAAAATGGGTAGAAATGGTCTAGAGATGTTTCAAGTTAGGGATCTACATCTCAAGTTAGGGTGTTTTCTTGGGTATTTGTTGGTAGGAAAGATCCTCGAAGGATAGGGCGTGATCGGTGCATTGGTTTTATGATTTTCCCGGTTGACGGAGATCTGTTTCGGGGCTGCTGCAGTGTCGCCAAAGGCCGAGTGGCAGAGTGTTGGAACCGAGAGCAGATTCCATTGCCATTTCGGAGTTTGTTTTGTTCGTGATACGAAAGCTTTGGAGCAGAGGTGAGCTGCTCCGCATCCGTCGATCTACACCCTTGCGCCTTGGAGTCGTTTTTGGACGGGCTGGCATGCGATGCGTCAAGAAACCCACAAGAGTTGAATACCCACGATTTACAGTCTGAAGTCGAGCATGCCTTCGACACCAAATAGACACAGGGCCTGTTTTCATCAAAGTATCTTTGTTGTAGCATTACTGCAAGTAACCACCAGCTTACCAGCTTGCTGCTGGTGGTTGAAACCAGCCAAAAACATGCGCATCCCGGCAGAGGTTGGGCCTCTGGAAGGCCAAGGATATCCATGAGAAGGTGAAATTCCCCGTGGACGTTCCAGGAGAGATTAGCGCGAGCCGCCCGTTGTAGGGGCGGTGGTGAAAAGTTCCGCCCCGGTTCATGAAGTCATAGCAGTTTTTGACCCACCCTAGAAAAGAATAGCAAAGAGTTGTTTTTTTCGGAAGGGTTTCTGATCCGTCAGTGAAATTTTGACCAAAAATGGGTGCCCCAAACCATGTGTTTCGTTGTTTGGATGGGTTGGACTTGAAGACAACGATCCATGTGGATCCGAATGAAACGCTGTGGAGTCTTTGTTGAGTGAATCCTGAAGCGAAAAAAGTGACACGACGCTTGATTCTGTAGCTGTGTGGCCAAGATCGTTTCTTTGGGTATCCCTAGCTGGACTCCAGCTGAACAGGATTGCTTTCCCTTAGCCGCACCCTGTCAGACCATCTCATGCACGGCTACGCATCACCCGTTCACCATAGGGTTTCCAGTTCCTGCGTTTGGCGCCGCAGGAGTGGTGGTGATGGAAGTGTGCAACGGGCCACCGGCCGACGGCAGCTCCGCGGAGCCTCTCTGTTCGGGGAGCCGAGGAGTTGATGATGTTGACGACGTGTGTCATGACACAGCTCCTAGTAGCTTCTTGTTCCTAGTAGTAAGGCCAGGAGCCCCTAGTAG